ATAACAGGCATAATTGTTTCCCCAGAGAAAGATACCAAGAGCTCTCCCTACATGTGCTATAGTGGTGGCATTAATCACTTAGGCCAAAATCAAGGCTTAATTTTGTCTAAAAAGATAAAAATCTATTCCTAATATATATGTGAAGTTAATTTGGGGTAGAACTATCTCAAAAGAGGTAAGGCATGTGGAGGAAACACAACAGATTAAAAAACTATCAAGCTTTTGAATTTCATAATTCTGGGCGATAAGAATTTTATTATGGAGTAAACTCTCAAAAGAAAGATACACTTGCTTTTTAAAACAAGGGGAAAAAAAAAAAAAAAGAGTCCATGAAACCTCAAATGAGTTCTGCTTAAAACTGGGGTGAGAGATCAGCAAATTTGCTTGTACATATCTTGTTTGCTCTAACAGTAAAAGCAAAGTATTCTAGCCATTTATTACTTAAACCTACTCAACTCAGTTATCACTGTCTAACTTTAGTAAAGCTTTTTTCAACAACAATAATTATCAGTTCTTGGCTCCAGATTTTATCATTTTTCTCTATAATCGCCCTCAACTTTTAACCCAAATGAGACTGAGAATTCTAAAGCACAAAATAAAGTCACAAATTTTAGGAGGAAAGAGCATTCACAAAAATGCCAGATAAATTAAAAATAGTTATATAATTGGCTTTTAGTTTATTCTACAAGTAAAATTTGGAAAAATGATGCTTGATATCTGTTTAGCATAATTCAGAGCAGTCTACTTTTCTGAAAACAAATCCTATCATTCTTCCAAGAAACACAGATACCTCACATAATGAATCAAAACTCAATTCTGTATTCCATGTCCTCAGTCATTAAAAGATTATCCTAATTTAAGAAGTTTCTCAAATGTTTTCCTAAAATGATACTACCCTATCTGAAAAAGAAGGAAGAAATATATAAATAAGTCTGCTTTTAAAAAAATCTAGATATATTTCTTTTTTTAGTGTACAACAAAGCGTTTGGGGACAAAGATTTTTCAATATTTTTAATCCATCAGAAAGAGTTTCAGCTAAGTATTCTTGAGGTCACTGAGGACAGATGTAAACTTTTTATGAAAACAATGCATCCTTTGCAAACAACACACACGATTATGAACTCAAGATAACAAGATAAGGCACACAACTATGGACCCTGCCAATACCTCACAATGAACAATACTTTATCAGGGTCAGAAGTTGGCAAAATGCATCAAGCAATCATGATGAAGGCTGGGTTTACTTAAAGGGATGCAAAATCATCTTGGTCCTCAGTCTTAGAGAAAGGTAGAGACTATTTATATAGTTGTCAATACTGACAACAACTGAAAACCAAAACTAAAGCCAAAAACCATGGCAAGTTTGCAGAATATCTAGAAATAGGTTCGAAGATTAAATTCTCAAGCCTAAAATCCAGGGGTCTATTTGCTTTAAAAAAGCTCTCACAAATGCTGTGCCAGATAGAGATCCGCAAGCAGAGGTTGTGAGAACACTAATCTCAAACATGAAAGGGCAATTATATTACTCTATTATTGATGTGATGTTGACACAGACAGTAATAAACTGCAACTACTTAACTGTTTTCATGTCAGAATCTTGATTAATTTGACAAATATGAGATCTTCAAAAAGTAAATGAAAAGATTAGTATTATCTTTTAATTCTATTTTTCCACAAATATTTAAAAGTACTCTCATATTTTTTCCTCCCTTTTTGGGAATAATCTCAAAGAACTAAGAGATTAGAAAGATACTAAGTTTTTTATGAGAAGAAGAATGAAATATAGAAGAGAGAAAAAGAAAACATTCAAAAAAAGAACAATCAACTTTTTGCTGGTCTCTAATTTCTTTTTATCCCTTTGAAAAAAATATAGTCAGACTGAAGGAAAGAGCACTCACTTTTTGCTTGCTGAGAAAGATGGAATGTGACATAGCTATACGCAAGACAAATCAAATAATCTTTAAGAGAAGTAAAGAACATTGAAAGGAAAGGTATAAGAAGGCAGAATTTGACTATTTCCAAATAATCATTCCATAAAAAAAAAAATATTTGAAAGGTCTTAGACTTAACATTCAACAATAAGTTTAATATAACTTCACATTATCAAATACGGCATTTTGTGCTTCAAAAATATTGCTAAAAGAGACAATGTTTTCTAAATTGCTCAAAGAAAATAAAAATTCCAACTCATGTTACTTTAAGCACAAATTATTCAATTTTAAAAAACACACGTAAGGCATTAAGACATTAAGACAGTATTTTCATATTCTGTGTAACCTGGCCTACCCTCACAAAGAGTACTTAAAATTGCTGAAATTCTGTTATGTAATTAAACTGCATTTCATCTTTTACATATTATATAAATATTTCTTAGTAATAGCATGAAATGTAATTTTTCAGTTAATTCAAATTGCAGAAATTAGTTAAGAACTGTTTGCAGTGGAAAACTTAGTGTCTTAAATGTAGTATGTAACAGGCTGCCCTCTAGTGTTGTTTTAGCTATAAACCTTGAAAATAGAAAACATTTTATTTTCAAATTTTACCCTAACTTAGACTAAAAATTACAAGTTAATGTAAAAAAGCAATAATCTTTATCTCATATCCTAAAAATATCTTAAAATATCTAAAAGTGGTTGGACCTAGGGGCCATCAACCACACAAGATAAAGCAAATGGAAGTAGAGGATTTATAATTTCCCATTTCCTTGCAACACCTCTTTTAGTTTTCAGAATACTGAAAGACTTTTCTAATGTTACTTTGGTGCCCTCTTTCCTCAAGTGACAGGGTACACACAGAAATGAACCTGAATGCAGCACAGTTCTAGATGTCTGTATGACAATAGGATGGGTCTTCAAATAAGAGCCCCCAAAAAAGAGACCCTTGGGAATATTGGCAAACCACCACTTCATTCAGAGTATGTCACTTGCGTGCTAACCATTTCCGAGGAAGAAGAGAGTCTCTTTTACATTATATTTTATTTTAATGTTTTGTCTTATCATGCCAACAGCCATATAGAATATATGTCTTTGAAAGCCATTCACATAAAGATGGCTAGAGCATGAACATGCCACAAACTGTTAATCAAAGAACTAAAAAGTAATCTAGCCCATAATGTAGATGTGAAAACCCCTATGTGATATTAGTTATTTTATGTCAGGCAAGTCTCAACTGACTTTATCTAAATTTCTATGTGTCCATCAATCCATCATCTTCATGTAGTCACACATGAAGATTCATATTTAGTAATGCTTTATCAGATTTCACTTTGGTCTTCCAAAAAGTTAACTAAATACCATGATTTTATTGAGCTTCCAATAGTGATAAAGGAAAAAAGTACACTGAAGTGAGGCTCCGTTAATGTTAAAGCACCATGCTACAAATGTCTTTAAGATAGTTTGCTAATAAGAATAAAGCCTTCTTAAAAATTCTCCTAAAGGTATAAAGGATATACTTGAAATATCTTAAAGCTGTTGGTTAAATTCTTAAAAAGATCTTTCCATTTGATTAACTTGTGATTAATAAAATATGCAACATAACTCATTCTTATTTTGGATGGCAACTAAGGTTACAGTATATAAAGTATCACATATAACAATGATATGAACTGAATTCTTATACTTGTTTTATACTCCATGCAATATGCTAAGAAGAATTTTTACCTTTTTCACAATATGATCATCATGATCATCAAATTATTCCAATTTTTATTGGAAGAATTTCTTATCCAAACTGCTTAAGGCTCATTTTTAAAGGAACTATACATGTTACTAAGTATTAAGTACATGCTTATTTACTACTTTAAAAGAGAATCTTCTATGACGTTAGTCTTTAAAAAAAAAAACAAAACACCACCATATAATTCTATATATGGCCAATAATTTTTAACTCAATTTCCGGTTAGATTATTTTATTAATTACATATTTTATATACCATGGAATAGTTGCTACATTTAAATGAAGTTTCACAAATTGTTGTCCCTTTCGGCATTTTAAAACTTTTTCAGAATGAAATGTAACTAGAAAAGTGACACACATTCGAAATTTAACTTGGACAACTATGCTAAGAACTAAGTAATAATGTTATAAAGAGTAACTATACAGAGTGAATTCAAGTTGACATAACTATACAAAGAAAGAAAACTGCAAAATCCGAACTTCCTTCTAACCTTAAGACCAATTAAACTTCACATAAGCTTAGCATTTTCACCTTACGAGTCCTAGTATTGGTAGAGAAGAAAGAGAAGAAAACTGATATTTGTTGTGGTCTTCTATGAACCAGGCACCATGCTGGATATTCTTTTTACATCTCCCAATCTTTGTTGTAAAAGATGCTGAGCTCTCCCCATTTTCCTGATGAGGAAAAGGCTTAGAGAAGTTAGGCAGCCGCCCACAGCTCCCCAGCTAATTAATACTGAGTGGGGCTGTCTGATCCTTCCCATGGGGACAGTGGTCTTCAGGAGTCTTTCCACTACCACAAATCAGAGGGAGTCTTACCTGTATAAGTACCTAAGGCTCTACGGGTCATGAAAACTATCTCAAATGAAACAGGGGAGAAACCCCTGTAGTAAAAGCTCCTTAGGAGATTCTGATACCACTTGTCTCCCACTTCCCCAGCCTAGAACCTGGTCCTCTTTTACAGATGATGCATAAGAGGTCCAGGGACTTTGAGAAAATAAAGGTACAGTTGAGTTAGGAAAGTGGTGAGGAGGTCTGATTCTCAGTCCTGGACCCTTCCTGTTCTGCTAGACAGCCTTTTGCCCTAACATTATTTTACTGGCTAAAGCAAAGTTTTGGTTTAAAACTTTGAAAAAAATGTACAGATAAAAAGTATAATATTATATCAACATGACATCCATTAAAAAGATAAAATTAAAAATTAGTTTATGTATTAAGGGCCAAAGTGTGAATAAAACTACCAATTATCTTTATTCTGTAAATTCTACAAGTAGTAAAAATAAAATAATTTAGACATTTAAAATAGTTAATGATCTTAAACTTACCTTAAGCCATAGCAAGGCAAAGTGAGGAGCCTGAATAATGCCAGGAAAACTCTTAAAGGAAGCAGGGTGAACACATACAAAAATGCATCCAGGCACAGAAAGATTCCAAAAAACATGAGCTGGATTTTAAAAGGAGAGAAGAAAAAAAAAAAGTAAAATATTCTTTAAATAATTGTAGATGGAAATTTCAAATAATCAGGAAATTTCTAAACTTTACGGGAAATTAACTTATGCTAATTTAGCCCTGGAAATAACAAATTAACAGTACTATCTGTGTATTCAAGCCATATTTCAGTGAAAGTTCTTCTTCAAAATGCAAGTATGGACTTCTTCCAGAGTCTTTGGTCTACCACCTTTTGGTCTACAGAAATCAATTAAACTATTCAAAGGAAAAGTTGCCCTTGGCCACAGCTACGTCTCATCTGATGTGGCTTTCTGGGTACCCTTCAAACTTTAAAGACATTATAGCAAACCTTTTAGATAAAACTTTTTACCTTTAGCTTTACTCCTCATAATTTTGTTATTTCCTGTTTATTAGAGTGCTTCATTGATGAGAAATATCAGAATACATTTTGAGTTAAAACATTGTTTATGTTAAAAATACGTGAACTGATTACTAGCTTTAACACAATTTTATGTGCACTGAAATTTGGTGTACTCATTTCTAATTACAGGACAAGTTGCTAATGTTTCTCTCTCTCCCCTTTCCTATGTGCTTGCCACACTTTTTTTTTTTTGGTAACATTATACATTTTTACCCATTAAATTCAGGACTATATTTCACAGAAGGAGGGTGGAGTCTTTTGATGGCTTGGAGAAGTAGCCACATGCAGGCTATAGCAAACTCTGTTATTATAAGAGCAGTGACTTATGCATGACCCCAACACACAAATGTATTATGCTATAAATGACTCTACCATAATATTCCATGTATCTTTAGTCAATAAATTGTCCCAAATTACTTAAAATTCATACTGCTATAGGCTGAATTGTGTCCCCCCACCAAATTCATATGTTGATCAGACAATATGTAGATCAGAATGTGAACATGTACGGAGATAGGGTCTTTAAAGAGGTGATCTAATTTTTATTTATTTATTTTTGGTGATTTAATTTAAGATGAGGTCTTTAGAGTGGGACCTAATCCAATATGACTGGTATCCTCATAAGAAAGGAAATTTGGACACATACGTGGACACAGAAAAGATGATATGAAGACACAGGGAGAAGACAACCACCTACAAGTTGAGGAGAAAAGTCTCAGAAGAAAACAACCCTGCCAACACCTTGATCTCAGACTTCTGGCCGGAACTATGAGACAATATATTTCTGTTGTTTAAAATGCCAGTCTGTGGTACTTTGTTATGGCATCCCTAGGAAACTAATAAACAAATCTTTAAATAAAAGAGCAAATTTTAATTTTTGATGAGAATGTCTCAAAAATATATTATGCATGTGAGGGTACCGCAAAAAGTTCATGGAAATATAGAATTAAAAGATAATACCAATCTTTCCACGAACTTTTTGATGTATCCTCGCATATATGCCAGATTTCTTAATCTAAATATATAGACCCTGATGACTTTTTGTTTGTTTTCAACAAGTAAAATAATTTAACAATTTAGATTCATTATGAAGAACACTGAAAGTACAATGCTAAACTACTGAGCCATGTGTCACAGACTATATTTTTAAAAATCTCTCCACAGTAGTCAGAGTCAGTCATCCTGTCTCTGCTGCCAGTATAGAGTCACAGTTTTGCGTGTTTTCTTGTTTGATACACAAAGGAGTGTTGTAGAACACTGAGCAAGGTCCACGTAAAGTTAGTGGTCCTTATTTATTACCCACTTGTTACCCTCCCTGCTTACTGGGGGACTGTTGGCTGAGCTCTGAATGCAAAAACTGCCAGAACCCTGACCTTCCCAGAAAGTACTTTGATGTGTATGCATGAAGACACAGGATGCTGGGAAGGAGAGAGTATGTGGCTGTCTTTCTCATGAGTTTATACTGGGGATCAACATACAGTAATTCCCCTGATCTGAGGTTTTACTTTTTGCTGTTTCAGTTACCCACAGTCAACTGTGGTCTAAAAATATTACCTTGAGTTGAATATTACCCCCAAAACTTAGTCCCCACTGTAACTGTCGAGGGTGGGAAATCCTATTATGGTAACCGAAAGGTGGGGCCTTGAAGACGTGATTAGATTGTAGGACCATGCCATAGGGAATGGGTTAATAATGGTGGGTCAGGGGCATGGTTCTGAGGGATTTAAAAGAAAAGCACATGAGAAGTTAGGCTCTCTCTCCTCTGCCATTTTCTGCCATGTGAGACCCATGAGTCACCGTCACTACCACCAAGACCCTCACCAGATGTGTTCTCTGGACTTTGGATTTCCCAGCCTCTGAAACTGTAAGCAATAAATTTCATTTTCTTACAAAGTACCCAGTTTCAGGTATTTTGTTATAAGCAACAGAAACGGACTAAGACAAATATTAAGTAGAGTATTCTAGAAATAAACAATTCTTAAGTTTTTTTTTTTTTTTTCCCTGACCAGTAAGGGGATCACAACCCTTGGCACGGTGTTGTCTGCACCACGCTCAGCCAGTGAGTGCACCGGCCATCCCTATATAGGATCTGAACCCGTGGCCTCGGTGCTACCAGCGCCACACTCTCCCGAGTGAGCCACGGGGCCGGCCCAACAATTCTTAAGTTTAAAATTGCATGCCCTTCTGAGTAGTGTGATGAAATCTCATGCCACCCTGCAGTATGTGAACCATCCCTTTGTCCAGTGCATCTGTGCTCCAGCAGCACCCTGCCCAATAGTCACTTAGTAGCCGTCTCAGTTATCAGATCAACTGTTTCAGTATTATAGTGTCTGTATTCAAGTTACTCCTATTTTACTTAATAATGGCCCCAAATTGCACGAGAGGTGATGCTAGCAATTCAGATACGTCAAAGAGAAGCTGTAAATTTCTTCCTTTAGTTGAAAAGGTGAAAGTTCTCTTGAAAGAAAAAAATCATATGCTGAAGTTGCTAAGATCTACAGTAAGAATGAATCTTCTATCCGAAGCATCTGCCTGTGTTCTGGCAACATTAACCAGAAAGTGTGGGTGACAGCCATCTTATTTACGGAATGGTTCCACCAATGCTTCATCCCAGAAATGAAAAAACACTTGGAAGAGAAGGGCTGGAATTTAAAGTCCTATTAATAACAGAAAATGCACCTGGTCATCCTGAATCTGTTAGCTATGAAATACAAATATCAAAGTTGCATTTTTACCTCCAAATACCACCTCACTGCCCCTTGACCAGGGCATGGTTCAGTTTGTCAAGGCCTGGTATTTGATTGCATTCAGTCAGCAACTGATGTAGACCCTAATCTGGACATAACGCAGTGCTGAAAATCTTTAACATTCATCAAACTGCACTGCATGAATTAGAACCAGAAACCATAAATGCCTGCTGAAAGAACTTATAGAGTGAAGTTGTGAATGATTTTAAAGTCATCCCGGGGACTGATGGAAAAGTTAGGTGAATCATTCATGTAGTAAGACAAGTTGGTAGAGGATTTGCTGACATGCTTGATGAAGAAGTGGGAGAACATATTGAAGGCCATCTAGAAGTGTTAACAAATGAGGAACTGGGAGAACTAGGTGAGTCATCTATAGAGGAAGAGAAGGATGAAGAAGAAGAAACTGACACAGAACAGCAATGTGAACATTACCAAAATTTGCTGAAGTCTTTCTTCTAAATTGCAAAGACACTAAAGGACAAAATTATGGAACGTGATCCTCGGATGGAATGCATTGAAGTCACCCATATTATCACCTAAGGATTACAACCTCTGTAACAACATTTTGATGAGTTAAAAGAAAGAGACAACTTCCAATTACAATGTTCTTCCTAAAGTTTTCAGCAAAAACCCTTCAACTACTGAGGATCCCCGACCATCGACATCATTGGCTCCTGACATCAAACTATCAACATCATCATGGCTCAATGATCCAGATCACTCGAAGCAGGTGATCCTCCTTCTTACACATCGGTAGAAGGTCAACAGTAGCCTAACACTATATCACAATGCCTATGCCATTCACCTCACCTCATCACATAGGCACTTTATCATCCTCCATCATTATCAGAAGGGTGAAAACATACAATAAAATATTTTGAGAGAGAGGCCATATTCACATAACTTTCACGGTATAGTGGTAGAATTGTGCTATTTTATTATTGTGTTGTTAATCTCTTACTGTGTCTAATTTATAAATTAAACTTTAACAGAGATGTATGGATAGGAAAACAACATAGAATTTAGGACTTTGTTCTATCTTTGGTTTCAGGCATCCACCAAGTATCTTGGAACATATCTCCCCTGGATAAAGGGTGGCTACTGTACTATCCATTCAACCAACATCTATTAAGCTGTTAATATGGGCCAAGTAACATGCTCAGCCCAGTGGGCACAAAGATGAACAGGACACCAGGATGTGGCTCCTGCTCTCAGTAAGCTTATTCATATGTTAGCATAAGAAACACCAGCATGTGGGTAAGTGCAGTGTTAACAACTGCCATGGCAGACCTAAGTATGTAGGAAACAAGGGAGGCCCAACGGCCAAACCAGCTTGTGGATATTCAGAAAAAGCTCCCTAGCAGAGGTGATCCTTCAGTGACATCTGAGAAGATGAGGGCTATTTGCCACATAGAGAGGGTGGACTGGGCATGGGGTTAGGGGTGGTGAGGGAAGAGGAAAGAAGTTTCAGGCAGAGGAAGCACGAGCAAGAACACGGGATGGAAAGTAATCACGAGGAAGACTAAAACTTCCTTTTAAAATAAAGAGAAAAAGTACTTGCCTTTCTTTGGCTTGGAGAAATCTGTATTAGCATTGTTTAGGTTAAATGACAGTAACCCAAGTCTAATGGGCCTTCTCCTCACATTTTACAACAGTGGCATAAATTCAGTGGGCAGGCGACAATCCTCTCTTGCTGTGTGCAGGTGCGTAGCTCGACTACTTGGAACTGTTAATATGATTGCTCTCGACAGTGAGATGGAGGGAAAGTAAGATGCAACAAGTAAAGAAATTCCAGCTGGGTGGAAAGAAATCATTCACGTATGTGAG